TAGGTTATGAGATTGAACCTGATATTGGGCCACCACTGGTTATGTTGAGCTCAATGAGGTATCACTGAGAACTTTTTGAGCTGAAACTGAGAAACCCAACGTAAAATAATTTAAGCAAAATAGAAAATTCATCTTATTTTACTGAAAGGAGGGCAAGAAGTTAAATCCCAGGTAGAATTGACATGCTACCAGTATTCTCTTTTTTTATATCTCCTGTATCTGCATTGGCTTAATTCTATCTAAATTGGCTTAATTCTCTTCAATGGCAGATTCACTCCTTACACTAGTGGAAGTTCAGTGACTCTCAGACGTGCAGGCTCTTTTTTTGCCACAAGGAGGAACTGACACTTGGACTCCCTGGTCTCCTGTTCAAAAATCTCAGCCTTGCCCTGGCTGGTGTTTCTCAGTGGTTAGAGCATCAGCCTGTGCACCTAAGGGTCGTGGGTTTGATTCCAGGTCAAGGGCACGTACCTGGATTGCAGGTTTGATCCCCTGCCCCAGTTGGGAGTGTATGGGAGCCAACCAATCCATGTGTCTCTTACATTGACGTTCTCTCTCTCTCGCTCTCTCTCTCTTTCTCTCTCTCCCTCTCCCCTCCCCTTTCTCCCTCCCTCCCTCCCTCCATTCCTTCCACTCTCTCTAAAAGTCAATGGAAAAAATTTCCTCAGGTGAGGATTAAGAAAAATAAAGAAAAATAAAATAATAATAACAATGATAATCCCAGCCTAAGCTGCCCATCCATGAATCAAACATTGTGTTCAGGGCAAGGGTTTAATCTAACTAGCCAAGTGTGAGTCTGATGCCCATAATAGGTGAATAACTACAGCCAGGAAGGCAGAATTTATAGGAAGATAGTGGCTCCTATTCAAGTCACATGGTTAGAAAAGATATAGGTTCTATTCCTGGAAGACAAGAAACATGTTGAATACAATTGGCAAAGATGTTGAAAACAAAAATGTAAAAATGCATTATTTGGACATAAGATCAACCAAACCTTTTTAACTCATGAGCTAAATCAAACGTTTAAGGTCTACTGGATGTAAATTCTTGGCCCTGGAAATGAATATTACTATGAGTACCAGACAGAAATATCACTTGAAATATTTATGTGCTAACACATGGACATTGACCAATCAGAACTGATCTTCAAACAATTAGAAAATTCCCAGGTCTGGCATGAGTACCAGGACATACAAATTGAATATAATTTGCCTGTTCGGACAAGTCACCAATGAATGCAATATGATTATAGACTCTGTGCATGCCCTTTTTTCCCCAGGCATTTTATTTTGCTACACTCAAATCCTAAAAATGACAGGTAACATGATAAAGATAAGAGTCAATGTTCATCCAACACTGAATTTCTTCAAGGTACATAAAATCACCTAGAGAAACGATTGAAATATAGAGCCCATAGCCCCATGATTATTTATCAATAGGTTCAGCAATAAACCCTGTAGCCTACAATTTTAGTAAGGCTTCCAGACTTTTCTGATGTCATTGGCTCTCTGTTCTGCAGCACACTTGGAGAAACACTGCTCTAAATTGCATTCCACTTACGGAAAAGCATCCAAGCTATTTGTAAGTAATTGGAATAAATAAGAAAATCAACAACCATGAAGACATAGAAGGATAGTAATGAAGTCTCAGCAGGAAGGCTTCTGTTTATTAGGGATCTGGGTAATTCAGGGCCATCTTCCAATGGCGTGTAATTCCAGAGTAGGGCAATCAACTAAGCCAAAAGGGACAAGTATGAGGAAAAGGATGAAAACACAACTTAGTGTATCTTGAGCATATTTAGCTTCATATAAGGGACTATCAAAAAGTAAATGAGGTACATTGACTGACGAGATAATCTTAGTAATTTGATCTTTGACTATGTATCCTATAGGGTTTTCTTACCTGTCATCATCAAACCCTACCCAACAAAAGACATTACAGCCAGGCTGCATATGACTTGAGATATTAAAAATAGAAACTGAAATAAAATAAGTAGTGAAGGCAGGCAATCAATGATTGATGTAGTATATGTGATATGCCTGGATTGTTATACTCTGTGATTGATGTTCCCCAACAGAGTGATATCAAGAAAACGGTTGTGGACTTAAGGTCATAAAACTCCCGTTTTTGCTCTGTTTCCACCAACAGCTTTCTTTAGAACCTTGTGCCACTTACCTGACCCCTTGGACTCTTACGTCCCTCAGCTTTAAAAGAAAGAGGGTTAGTTAAACTGAGAAAAACCTTTAGTCATAACACGATTATCCCATGAAACATAAAGCAAAATTTAATTCCTGATTGTAATCAATTGTTAGAGAGCAAAACGTAACTAAAGAGCTTTCTCATCTGCCCTTTTAGCACTATCAGAGTAAAATTTAAAAGATCCAGCTATTTCTTATAGTGCAGCTCAGATTAGGTAATATAATCGGAAGCCTTTTATTCAAACCTTTTAACTTTATTTTTAATATCTAGTTTAGATATTAGCAAACCTCTTGGACCCTAAAGTGAGGCTTAACCATCTCTTTGGTCATATGGGAATCATTGAAGGAACATGAGAAAGCCAACCTGGATAAAATTACTTCCCAAATACTACCAGGAGTGCCCATCCTTTGAGTCACTTTTAAGGATTAGAGCAATAAAAGAACACCTTTGCAATCACAAATGTTATCTAGAAGAGAAGAGAGAGAATATTTGGGTCTGGCTCCTATTAGCCAAAAAACATCAGTAGTATCTTGGGATTTTTCAGAGTTGGATCGAGATTTTGAAAGGCCTGAAATGTTGTTACAATTCTGGGACCTACTTTAGTGAAAGGGTTTTTAAAAAGTACTAATATAAAAGTCAATTCTAAAGGGAATTTTTACTTAGGCTAGAAAAAGAAATAAAAACAAATTACTGGAGTTTTGGAAATTCAGGTCTCTTTCTCCGGAGACCTCTTTAGACTCTTACAAGAAGTCATTATAAAGAATCATCTAAATCCATCCTGACATCCACTGCCCTTCTACAGCACTCTACAGCTCTCAGCGACAGCCAGCACTCATAGGGACTCATGCAAATAAGGGTGTTCAGTTTAACAAGCTTAAGTTTAATAAGTATCGTGTATTATTAATCATCAGCTTAACAGGTGGACAAGGAACAAGAACACCACAGAATCAATTTTGGGAGAGAATGGAGAGCTCAGAAGCTGACATTAAGGACTGCTTCAGGTGGGCAATCAGAGGTAGCCTCTGAATAGGAGGCCTGGGAGTCTTTATATGAAGGCTTACAAGTAAGAGGGCATTAAAGATAAACTTCTCAATATTGGGTGCACTCAGTCGGGTATCACTAAGCAGGCCAAATCCTGATATTCAGGAGAGCCAGGAAAAAAAGATATGAGGAAATAAAAGAACAGAAGTTGGAAAATGTGGGTGAGGGCAGGAGGAGGGTGTAAACAAAATAGAGGAGAAAAACATCACTGAGAGAGAGAGAGAGAGGGAGAGAGAGAGAAGAGGTGCTTCACCATCTGTTTTGAGCGATGTAACAGTGCTAATCACTCAGTTCCCCTGCTGTATACCAGGCTCTTGGCACACAGTGAACATAAGACTAGGAAGAAAGTGAGGGAGTTAGCCCGTTAGAACAGGACATTACACTAATGGTAATTCTCTCTGTTCCCTCATCTTAGAGTTTAGAAAAATGAGGCACAGAGGTCACTGGCCTGTCAGAGATGATCGTCTAGCATAGCCAAGGCCGGAAGCCCCATCACTTTGATGAAAATAACACTGATTTTTTTTCTCTTTATGATTGTTTTACAAAAATCTAGCAAAGATAATCTCTTGTCCTCAGCAAACTTAAACACTTCTCCATCTAAAGCGGTCCACACACGCAAAAATAATAAAAAAATAAAGTTGTCCAAGTCTTCCTTCATGACACATCTCAATCAATAATAAAGAAGTAATAAAGAAATAATTAACACATGAAGTTTTTCTTTGTTGAAGGTAGCTGTGTCTCCCTTTCCATGTCCAGTGCACCTTGCCTGTATATCTTATAGCATTTATTTTACTCTGTCCAAGTCTCTTTTTCTCCTCATCTTTCTCATCCACCCCACCCTACCCCCCCACACACAAAGGAATTACAGTGTTCTACATGCACCCACACATATACATGCAAATATGCCCATAAACACAGACACCCATAAAGCACACACACAAGCTCCCCAGTGAAGCATCTGTGCTAAATCAAGACTCTACCATGTAACAATATTTTAGAAAAAACTGATGTTCCTATTTCTGGTGGTTTTCTATATCTCTTTGTTCTTACTGTTCCATTTACTTTCTCTTCTCCCTTTCCCACACTTATACAAATCCTAGCCTTTCTCATAATCCCCTCAAATGCACATCAAACTTTAAGGATACCTCATTCACAGCACTCATCACTTTCTATGTTGCATGACACTTAGTTTGATATATAGCTCTTTTCCCATACTTGAGTGTACTTTATATGTGGCTTCTTTCTTTAAGAATATACTTGCTGAGTGCTTGAGAGCACAGTCTATGGGTGATTTATCTTTGTAATGCCCACAATGTCTTGCAAAATGCTTGCATATTATAGATATTCAATAAATATATATTAACTAATAAATAAGTGTTCACTAATTTGGAAATGATAAAGTTCTGGAACCTTTACTCATTTTTTTAAAAATCAGCAATTATTTACCATAGGAAATGCCTGTAGTTATTTATTTCCTTTGGAATATAATTAGTACCTAAACTACTAGTGTTAATTTACACTTAAATAATTAATATTTTAAAAAGTACGGAACATACATGCAATCCAATCCTTAAGGGAAGGCAGACATCATAATAACTGAATTTAAGTGTATTTTTCTTTTTTTAATGCTTCAAAAATTTAACAGTCATCAAACAGACGTTAACAACCAAACCACAGTGCTGTTCAACGTAACCATCCCCAGGATTGAAAAGAAATTGTGACATTCATTTTATGCTTTAAGACTATGCTTTCTTTTCCAGGTGTGATGGGAGAGTACGAGCCGAAAATTGAGGTCCATTTTCCTTTAACTGTTACAGCTGCTAAGGGAACAACTGTTAAGCTGGAGTGCTTTGCCCTTGGCAAGTAAGTCCATATTCTTCCATAATTAGACACAATTGTTTATTAGAATGTGACATATCTTATTTTTTAATCACTTATTTTGCTAGATTTCACTTTCCCAGAGCTCCTTGGTGGGAAGAAGTAACCAATTATAATGATCTTTCTAGTCATTTCTATGAACCTCAATGTATACATTTTTTGCTATTTTAACATAGAGAACACTTCTTTAATTAAAAAAAGAGCTTTACATCTCTGCCAATGTGTCTTAAAAATTTTAGTGTTTTTTCTTAAATTTTATTCAGCAATGATGTAAATGAAAATATAAAAGAATAAGGTGCTACTTGCTCCTCACAGATTTTGATAAGATATAATAAGCCATAAGTATAAAAATCACAAAGACAATAATTACAGTGAGTCAACTGCTTACTTCTGTATCTCCTGAAATAATGATAATGTGATAGCACCAGCTGTCAATATGCACAACATGTAATGATTCCCCAAATCAGAAAGATGATTCATATCACACTTTAATGCTTGCTATACTTAAGGATTCTATTTCGGAGGGTTTAAATCCCGTGATATATAATTACTTGTCAATGATGTTTACAATATGAGTATTGGGTGTAGAGGCAGGAGTGGAATTTTGATTGTATTTGATTAGAGTATTATGATTTATTTTTAACAGAGGGTTGTTGTTTGCTTTTTTTTTTATGGGTGATAAGCCCTCAGGGTTCTTTCTAACTCTATAATTATAATTTGCATAACTGCATCTCTATCAGAGTTGCTAATCATTTAACTTTACTTGTGGTGAGCTACTCTTACAGTGTGACTACAAAGTACATGGAGATAAAACATGCTATACAAGTGTGCTTAAACCTATAATTGGGGAAAATATTACTAAGTATAAGAAATGTAGCTAGGAAAAGGACATTTAGGGCATGAACATAGTAAATACTATGTTTTCTAATATCAAGACAGATTAAAATAACATCAGTGTAATTTACTTAACTCTAAGTAGAAACAGCATCATCATAAACTGAAAACAAAATAAACTGTTATGTGGTCATTCTTTTAAGTAAAAGATGCCTATAAATAGAACTATATTTCAAGAACTAAAAATTCATCAAGGAGGTATTTGGGCAGATATCTGAGGAAGTCTTCTAAACACAAAGATATCATTTAAATGCACATGGTTATATAGCACCTTAAAAGTCGTGTGTTTTTTTTCCAACCATTTGTCCATGTTGTCATATCAAGTATGCCTGAAAATATCCAGTGTTAGCAACTTAATTCTCACAAATACAAAAATAATATATTTTGGTTTGATGCCAAAGGTTTAGTATATCCTGCAGTTAAATATTCTCAAATGCTTAGTATTTGCACTAAAGCCACAAACAAAAGGAGGTCGTATTGTAAAACACATTAGAGAACTGGATTTATAGAGAAAAAAAAACAATATGGGAAATTTCCCCAGGCAGGCTTATTTAATAAGCTAGATGTGTTTGCTTTTGGAAGTATTGAAATATGCTTAAACTGATCATTAAAGTTCCTTTCATTCTAGGTAGGATTCAACAATTATTTTATTTTAATACTTTATTTTCTTCAACTTTTCCCTCTTCAACTTTGCTACTCCCTCTCCCCACACCACCCCAAATAAACAAATAAAAGGGAAGGTAACCCTGGCCCCAGGTGGCTCATTTGGTCATCCCATACACCTAAAGGTTTCAGGTTCAGTTCCCAGTCAGCGCACATACTTAGGTCTGGGGCTTGACCCCAGGTCAGGGCTCATATGGGAGGCAATAGATCAATGTTATCTCTCTCTCTCTCTCTCTCTCTCTCTCTCTCTCTCTCTCTCTCTCTCTCTCCCTCCCTCCCTCCCTCCCTCCCTCCCATCCTCTATCTTTAAAAATCAATAAAAAGCATATGCTTAAGTGAGAATTTTTTAAAAAGGGAGGGGGATAAAGAAGACACACAGCCTATCAAGGACACTGTTGTTCATTTGATATCCTTTCTGTAAAGTGTCACAATGATGACTTTTAAAAATGTTATGAAGAGCTATACCTCTACCTAAAGACTAACCTGCGATTCTGATGAAAGTAAACAAGGTCAAAGAAATAACATCCTTACATATGTTAGCTCCTTCACAGCATATGATCATGTGGAGATCATCACTGCATCCCAACATGATCACAGCAATTTCAAATTAATACCTGAGTATCTGCTTAGTCCCCACAGCTCGCCTGAGCTGCTTTCAACTTTAACAAGCAGATGATTCTTTGGTGGCCTTTGTCCCAAAACTTTATTATTTGTCATTAAATACCAGTTAGGACTGTGCCACTCAGACTGATTTTCCCCCTTCCCCCCGGCCCCCCACTATCCTTTACACATGGAGTGTTTCAACTTGTGGAGTTTCATAACCAAATCATGGCATAGAGCATATCAAGCTCTCTCCTCCCACGGCTTCTGCACTTGCTGTTCCCTCTTGAACTCTCTTCCCTGTCCTTTCCATCCTTTCCATCCTGGCTCCTACCCACTGGCCTCAACTTAAATATCACCATCTTAAAGAGACGATTGATAACTATCTAACTCACACCCATTTTTCTCTAAGTAGTTGTGTTTTTTCTTCATAGTTCTCAATACAGTTTTAAATTATTTACTTTTGTGTTTCCCTACTTTAAACATTTCTTATCTGTGTCAGTCAGGTATTCGGCTGGAAACTGGACCCAACTCCGATGGTTCAAAAGATTTTAGTAAAGGCATATGTGAAAGATCTGTCAGGGAGCAGGACTAAGAGGACCAAGGAAAGTAAATGAGACATTAGTAGGCGAGCAATAGCAGGAAGTCATTCTCACCCAGAATGAGCAAGGGGGGGGGGGGGAGGTGAAGACAGTGCCATCAGAACCAGGGACAGCAGAGATATGGAGGGGGCCGGGGGCCACTGACAAGAAGGAGCTGCAGACACTATAGTCATGAAGAGATCACAGCCCAGGAATGGGTCAGGAAATTCATATCCTGACTTCTTTTCCACATGCCTTCTGATCTCTGATGGCTCTCATGACTGAAGGCACCCAAAGCCAGCTTGGAAGCCAAGAGGATGCGGTTGGCAGTACACAAAACAAGGCAGAGAGTGTGAGAGAATGAACTCAGAAATACCGTGACTACCTAACCCATCTGAGATATCAACAGATGATACATAATAAGTAATAGATTCTCTATGCATAAAGCATTTTGACTAACTCCTGTTCTCCCAAACAAATGTGCACTGCTCTCCTCTGCACATCTCTATCTCTTGCCCTCTTATTGTTTCCTATTTATGTCTAAATTGACACTTATATTTTTAGCTGTGCCTTTTCCTGACTAGTCTCACCTCACTCTAACAGTATCTCTCTTTTTTAGACCTACATTATCTCCTTCTCTTTTGATTTTCTTCTCAAAGCTTATTATCAAGTTCTAGTCATACTTAATATTTAACAAATATAAAAACACAATAAAAAACACACTTCTCTTTATCTATTGGCCCTTAGGAAGGGTTTGTTTGCTTTGAGAGGTAGCATAAGGTTAAAAATGAATTCTTCATATTTAAATACTAGGATGAAGGACAGAGTGAAAAACATATATCACAGAGAGTGATATTTAATGCAATAATGGATTCAAGGACAGATAGGAGGAGACCATAAGCACAAATTTTTGCTGTCTCCACCTTTGCCTCCTACAAGCCTTATGGGGGCAATTCAGCTTTCCTACTAGAAATCACCATTTTTAATCATGTCATTTATCGAGTCAAACGCCTTCCTAGGTACACCTCTTCTCTCAAGGAAAAATCATTCATTCATTTATGCAAAGAAGTCAAAAAGCAAGAGGTGGGCTTTGTATAGGTCATCCTGTGAATGCATATGAGCTAAAGTATCTTGAAAAGAACCTACCACTGAAATGTGTCTGGAGGTTTTGAAAACCAACTATGTGCCAGGCAATGTACTAGCTTCCATGGATTTCCATAGTCCCTGTTCTCCAAGAGATGCCATGTTATCTTCATACATTTTCTGGGTGTAGCACCTCCATCTGGAGTCCAGTCTTAGGACCCTAGTAAATATTTCCATCTAATCACTCTCTCTGTATAGTGGAGGCAATTGAAAGTTGGTCTTAGTCATCACATTAGCAGCAGCATACACCCTGACCAAGGTGTCCTCCACAGTCAACTTTTATTTCTAGAAAGATTTACTGCCCATCTTTTTTGCTCCAACTACAAATTGGAGACTAAATGACAATAATGGCAGATTTTCTTCCTCTTGAATTTTCCCTGACCCAGACCAATCAGAAATGTCTTTGTATTGCTAGAGCCACACTTTCAAGCTGTCAGAATACTGTTCTTCTGCTCACAAACATTTTTACTCCTCTAGAGAAATACATTTACTTCTAGGAGATCTGTCCCTAAAAGTTCTTATAATTTAGAGAATGTAAATTGATGCAGCCATAGTTGCACACATAATATAAAATCATGATATGGATACATTTGCTGTATTCTTCAAGGAAAATAGCAGAAGCCAAATGATTTTAGCTCATTGAATTTTACTTTCTCTTTTGTGTGTGTGTGTGTGTGTGTGTGTGCTTTCCGATGGCCTTTTTTTTTATTGTTTTATTGCTTAAAGTATTACAAAGGGTATTACATATGTGTCCTTTTTTTTCCTCCGCCCTTGAAAATCCCCTGACCTCCCCTACCCCCCAGTGTCTTATGTCCATTGGTTATGCTTATATGCATGCATACAAGTCCTTTGGTTGATCTCTTACCCCCCTCACTCCTGTCTCTTAATATCACACAGGTTCACCAACCTGCCTAATCAGAAGTTAGGTTAAAAAGTCAACAGGAAAGTTATATATTACAAGATGTCTTCTAAAGAAGCCTCTGCTTAAATCTCAATTTAGCAAAAATCAAATGGTTTCTCTATAGGTTGATGCAGCAGAATACGACAAAAATATACTATAATTAAACTCCTTGTCATGTATCTGCAAACAGAATTACCAAGTAT